CATTGAAATTAATAAAGCAAATGAAACAAGTGAAAATAATGAAACAAACGAAACAAATGAAGTTAATGAACTGCATGGGTTTGAATCAAGCAAGGATGTAGGGACACGACTGATGGGAGATCGATCATTTCGATTGGGAGAGTTCCCTCGAAATTCCATTCCGCGAGCGACTCGGGAATTCTCCCGAGGGACTCGGCAGAATTCACAGTTGACTGCTTAAACCTCGATTAAAATAACTTTCAGGATCAATTTGCATAAAATGTATAAAATGGAGTGAATCCATTCCGAGACTTTTAAAAATACCGCTTCGATTGAAACGTTCCAGTAATGAAGCAAATGGAACAAATGAAATTAATGAAGCAAATGGAACAAATGAAATCAATGAAGCAAATGAAACAAATGAAATTAATTAAGCAAATGAAACAAATGAAATTAATGAAGCAAATGGAACAAATGAAATCAATGAAGCAAATGAAACAAATGAAATTAATTAAGCAAATGAAACAAATGAAANGATATTCGTTAAATATATAGAAAATATAGGAGAAATATTTTGTGCTACTAGGGAATTTGAAGAAAGATGAGGGGCGGTTATATCCTTCGGATATCCTTCAGATAAAGGACTAAAATCTCGAAAATAATGATTTTAACGTTTCTGAAATATTGCATCTTTTTTCCGCTTCCAAAGAAAAATTCCGAACCTGAGGATACACTTCGGATGAATTTGTGCAAGTTAACCGCGGGGTGTAATTAAAAGTTGGAGGGAAATTAACCCGTGTCGGGAAAGATTTTTCCATGGGAAAGAACCGCCTTCTAACCTGGCCGTAAGAGCGGAATCCAATTTCGTTTTGGAAATTTCCTTTCGGGACGGGGAATAGGTCGTTAACTTCTGGTCCCTTCCCTCCAACTTTCGTGTTTTCTCTCATTCAAATTTCGCCTCTCTTTCTTTCATCTAATTGCGGCCCTCGGTATAGCCAAATGCAATTCTGTCTCTCCGTGGTAGTCGCGGGTAAAGGATTCTTTCGACGGAAAAGCCGCCTCGCGCGTTATTGCGAGGACTTTTGTCCGCAAAACGCTCGAGAGGCCGCAAAGGACGAAGGATCAATTAATGGCGCTGGGCCGAAACTAAATGAAATTACGGACCCCCGAGGTACTCGCCCGACGGATTGAAAAACTATTCGATAATGCCCGATTATGGCGAAGCTTCGTTCTGAATAGTTGGGACTGTATCCCTGGCCCCGGTCGGATTATCATTTTGGAGCAAAGGTGCAAATGACACCGCCTTAATATCCTAATTAGACTTTTCAATTAGATATGATTATGAATGCAATGTTATGTAGGCCGATTATTGCGAAGCTTCGTTTTGAATAGTTGGGACTGTTATCTGTAACCCCGACCGGACTATCATTTTGGAGCAAAGGTGCAAACGACAACGCGACACCGCCTTATTACCCTAATTAGACTTTTCAATCAGACACGATTATATATTCCATGTTACGTAGGTAGACAAATTGTCAAACTATTCGATAATGCCCGATTATTGCGAAGCTTCGTTCCGAATAGTTGGGACTATATCTCTGGCCCCGTTCGAACTATCATTTTGGAGCAAATGTGCAGACGACACCGCCTTATTACCATAATTAGACTTTTCAATTAGACACGATTGTGAATGCAATGTTATGTAGGCCGATTATTGCGAAGCTTCGTTCTGAATAGTTGGGACTGTATCCCTGGCCCCGGTCGGCTTATCATTTTGGAGCAAAGGTGCAAACGACACCACCTTAATATCCTAATTAGACTTTTCAATTAGACACAATTATGTATGCAATGTTATGTAGGCCGATTATTGCGAAGCTTCGTTCTGAATAGTTGGGACTGTATCCCTGGCCCCGGTCGGATTATCATTTTGGAGCAAAGGTGCAAACGATACCACCTTAATATCCTAATTAGACTTTTCAATTAGACACAATTATGTATGCAATGTTATGTAGGCCGATTATTGCGAAGCTTCGTTCCGAATAGTTGGGACTATATCTCTGGCCCCGGTCAAACTATCATTTTGGAGCAAACGTGCAGACGACACCGCCTTAATATCCCAATTAGACTTTTCAATTAGACACGATTATGTATGCAAAGTTATATAGGCCGACAAATTGTCAAACTATTCAATTATGGCCGATTATGGCGAAAGTTCGTTCCGAATAGTTGGGACTACATCTCTGGCTCCGGTTGGCTTATCATTTTGGAGCAAAGGTGCAAACGACCCCGCCTTAATACCCTAATTTGACTTTTCAATTAGATACGGTTAGGAGTGCAATGTTATATAGGCCAACAAATTGTGAAATTATTCGATTATGGCTGATTATGGCGAAGGTTTGTTCCGAATAGTTGGGACTATATCTCTGGCCCGGATCGGCCTATCATTTTGGAGCAAAGGTGCAAACGACCCCGCCTTAATACCCTAATTAGACTTTTCAATCACATACAATTTTATGCAATGATTGTGTCAGGACAATTCTTAGATGATCACGAGTGATGTGTCAAAGTTTCGGACAGTTTGATCCGATACCCTTTAAAAAAAAAAAAAAAGTGTTGTATTCGAATCGACTGATTTGAAGGGGGCTTCACTTCACCTTAAAAGCGGAAGTTACTCGGCCGAGTGAGCCAAAAGTACGGATCGAGATTTCCCGGGAGCACTCCTCTTCGAATTTATCCGACGAGAAAAATTGTAAGCTTCCGCCCGAGCTGGGTCCATTACGCGTCGATGGAAGTACGAGGACGACCCCGGGACGTCCACGGGATAAACGGGATAACCGGGATAAAGGTCGTATAAAAGGGTGGACGGTCGCAAAATGCACCCTGGCGCGCCCGAAACGCGACTTCCGGAGATGACGAATCGTCAAAGGGGTTCACGTGCGCAAGAAGAGAAATATTGCTCCGACCATTACATGCACTCGCGTGTGAAATTGTTCTCCTGACCGTAATGGAGTTTTCTCTCTTTCTCTCCGTGGACATCGTTGCAATTTCTTTGAAACGTAACGAACGCGACTCTAACGAAAGCTCCGATTGTATCAAATTAATTGCAATTCTTGTCGCATCAAAGTGCATCAACGCTATTACAGAACAGGTGATCGGTTAAAAATGTAAAGTCTCCATAAAGAAATTTTTACCGCGGGTAGAATCGTTATTAATGGTGAGTCCGATTGTATCAAATTAATTGCAATTGTTGTCGCATCAAAGTGCATCAACGTGCATCAACGTTATCACGGAATAAGTGATCGGTTAAAAATGTAAAATCCACATAAAGAAATTTTTGCCGCGGGTAGAATCGTCATTACTCGTGAGTCCGATTGTATCAAATTAATTGCAATTCTTGTCCTATCAAAGTGCATCAACCTGCATCAACGTTATCACGGAAAAGGTAATCGGATAAAAATGTTAAATCCCCATAATGAAATTTTTACCGATGGTAGAATCGTCATTAATCGTGAGTCCGACTGTATTAAATTAATTGCAATTCTTGTCTCATCAAAGTGCATCAACGTGCATCAACGTTATTAACAAAACAGGTGATCGGATAAAAATGTAAAATCTCCATAATGAAATTTTTACCGCGGGTAGAATCTTCATTAATAGGGAGTCTTGTAATCGTAGCTCAGTACAATGATTAGGTGAATTACGGAAAATAGGGACATGCTTTTCGCGTAGTGTCATTACAATATTGATGTACCAATTTCATGTACCCCGATCAGGATGCAAATGGTTCAATCCACGTGCCAGAGACTGTTACACGGAAAATCAAGCTAGGCTTGTTCACCGAGCTTCGATGAAAAATCTTTGGAAATTTAAATGACCGAATAAATTATTAAAAATGATTACACACTCTCCCCGCATATCGTTGCAATATTGATATACCAATTCCGTGCCCGGATCAATATGCAGATGGTTCAATTAACGTGCCGGAAACTATTAAACCCAAAATCAAGCCGCGCTTGTCCACCTGGCTTCGATGAAAAATCATTGAACATTAAACTGGCGGAATGAGTATTATTAAAAAAAAAATAGGCTGGTTTATCAGGCTTCGATGAAAAATCATTTAAAATGGCGGGATGAATTATTAAAAATAAATAGGCTGGTTTATCAGGCTTCGATGAAAAATCATTGAACATTAAACTGGCGGAATGAGTATTATTAAAAAAAAAATAGGCTGGTTTATCAGGCTTCGATGAAAAATCATTGAACGTTAAAATGGCGGGATGAATTATTAAAAATAAATAGGCTGGTTTATCAGGCTTCGATGAAAAATCATTGAACATTAAAATGGCGGAATAAATATTATTAAAAAAAATAGGCTGGTTTATCAGGCTTCGATGAATAATCATTGAACATTAAAATGGCGGAATGAATATTATTAAAAAATAGACTGGTTTACCATGCTTCGATGAAAAATCATTGAACGTTAAATTGGCGGGATGAATTATTAAAAATAAATAGGCTGATTTATCAGGCTTCGATGAAAAATCATGGAACATTAAAATGGCGAAATGAATATTATTAAAAAAATAGGCAGGTTTACCAGGCTTCGATGAAACATCATTGAACGTTAAAATGGCGGGATGAATTATTAAAAATAAATAGGCTGGTTTACCGGGCTTCAATGAAAAATCGCTGAACATTAAAATGGCGGTTATTAAAAATAAATAGGCTGGTTTACTAGGCTTCGATGAATAATCATTGAACATTAGAATGACGGGATTAATTATTAAAAAGAAAAAACAAAATAGCCTGGTTTACCATGCTTTGAAGAAAAATCATTGAACATTAAAATGGCGGGATGAATTGTTTAAAAATAGGCAAGTTTTCCAGGCTTTGATAAAAATCACTGAAAGAAATGAAAGGAAGCAGTGGGAGATATCACCTGTGAAAGGCGCCTTTGAAGTCCTTCCAAAGTATTGGAAGAAAAATGAAGAAAAATTCGTCGAGCAGGCAAAGTGGCTTACCTTTTTACAGTACTCGAGGATCTCGAGCTTGTTCGTCATGCAGCTCTTCCTGTCGGTGGATGAGACCCATCTGCCCTGTTCTCCAATGTGCTGCGCCAGGTAGACCTCACCTGCCTCGCAGAGGGTCGCCACCTTCGGAAAGGGTCGAAACGTTCGACGATCATAATTATTTTCGAAGGGCCCTCGATAGTGATGGAAATAATACGTCGCGATCAGTATCGATTCCTAACAGCAAAATATCAATATCTTAAGAGCGTACATAAAGACGAAAGTATGAAATGATATTAATACCCAAATGATACCTACACGCAGGTATCAAATACTTCAAATATCTGCCAAATATTTACAAAATGTACGATATTCGTTAAATATATAGAAAATATAAGACAAATATTTTGTGCTACTAGGGTATAATCACGTATTTACTATAACCGTGTTATTATGTATCACTTTAAAAGATATCGATATCGAATATTGATGCCAAGTATCTCATTTTTAACATATCTTCAATGCCTCTTAATAAATACCAGAGAATTTAATTATTGCAATATTATCAATAATTATCGTATCACTCCCATTACTATCTCTCGGTCGGCGCAAAAAGAGCTGCGCACATATAATCAGATATTTACTATAACCGTATTATTATGTATCACTCTAAAAGATATCGATATCGAATATTGATGCCAAGTATTTCATTTTTTATATATCTTCAATCCTCTTAATAAATACCAGAGAATTTAATTATTGCAATATTATCAATAATTATCGTATCACTCCCATTACTATCTCTCGGTCGGCGCAAAAAGAGCGGCGCACATATAATCAGATATTTACTATAACCGTATTATTATGTATCACTCTAAAAGGTATCGATATCGAATATTGATGCCAAGTATCTCATTTTTAATATATCTTCAATGCCTCTTAATAAATACCAGAGAATTTAATTATTGCAATATTATCAATAATTATCGTATCATTCCCATTACTATCTCTCGGTCGACGCAAAAAGAGCGGCGCACATATAATCACATATTTACGATAACCGTATTATTATGTATCACTCTAAAAGATGTCGATATCGAATATTGATGCCAAGTATTTCATTTTTTATATATCTTCAATCCTCTTAATAAATACCAGAGAATTTAATTATTGCAATATTATCAATAATTATCGTATCACTCCCATTACTATCTCTCGGTCGGCGCAAAAAGAGCGGCGCACATATAATCAGATATTTACTATAACCGTATTATTATGTATCACTCTAAAAGATATCGATATCGAATATTGATGCCAAGTATCTCATTTTTTATATATCTTCGATACCTTGGAATAAATACCAGAGAATTGAATTATTGCAATATTATCAATAAGTATCGTATCACTTCCATCACTATCCCTTTACTCGACGCAAAAAGAGCGGCGCACATATAATCACATATTTACGATAACCGTATTATTATGTATCACTCTAAAAGGTATCGATATCGAATATTGATGCCAAGTATCTTATTTTTTATATATTTTCCATACCTCAGAATAAATACCAGAGAATTAAATGCTTGCAATATTATCAATAAGTATCGTATCACTTCCATCACTATCCCTTTATTCGGCGCAAAGAGAGCGGCGCACATATAATCACGTAATCAACTACTCGTTTCGGCTAAAGAGAAATTTCCCGCATTCATCGGACCCTCGTTAACCGCGAAGGGGAATTAATAAAGAGTCGCGAGTGCGATATTACCGCGAAACGCAAAGGCCACCCTTTGAGACGATTACCCGAGTATCGCGGAGTGGAGGTAACAGAACGAAAGAAAAAAAAGAGAAAAAAAAGGGAATAACGAGGAAACGAAAGAGGGGAAAAAAGGAGAAGTCAGGGCGTCCTCCCGGAGGCGCCGCTCTCGCATTAAACCCGACAACGAATTAAGACCCGTTCGTTCCCTCGGGAGGAAACTCCCGGTTAATTCCGGGAGCGCGAACGCGAGTCCCGATAGCCTCTAACTCGGGGCGAAGAACTTTTCCGCCTTGTTTTTCGCCTTTCCTTTAATCACCTGCGGTTCCGATCTCCCTCCAGCTGGCGCCAGCTCCAACCGCTCCGAGACCGCCTGGAAAGAAAAAGAGGAAAGACCTCGGATTAGTCGCCAGCCTCGGGAAAAGCCTAGGATGATAATTATAGCGCTACCAAATCCGAGCCAACTAATCAGTCCGCTGCGGGGTTTTCCGTTTTCCGCTTTCCGGGGGCTAAACATGCCCCGGAAAGAAATTATTCCCTAGCTCCCAACCCCGCGTCGTGTCGCGCGACACGGTTCTTTCACACGTGGAGGGAAATAAACAAATCCCTAGTAGAATAGAGTAATTTCGAAATATTTCTTTGTAATCTTTGCTAAGTATCTGATAATTTCTTTCCGGACTATACATGCCCAGGAAAGAAATTATTCCCTAGCTCACACCCCGCCTCGTGTCGCGCGACCCGGCTCTTTCACACGTGGAGGGAAATAAACAAATCCCTAGTAGCATAGAATAATTTCTAAATATTTCTTTGTAATCTTTGCTAAGTATCTGATAATTTCTTTCCGGGCTAAACATGCCCCGGAAAGAAAATATCTAAATGTAATCTTTGCTAAGTATCTGATAATTTCTTTCAGGGCTAAACATGCCCCGGAAAGAAATTATTCCCTAGCTCCCACCCCGCGTCGTGTCGCGCGACACGGTTCTTTCACACGTGGAGGGAAATAAACAAATCCCTAGTAGCATAGAATAATTTCTAAATATTTCTTTGGAATCTTTGCTAAGTATCTCAAAAAACAGATCTTTTAAAATTTCTTGTGGGTTTCATGCGAAGATATTTGAAATATTTCTTGAAAATCTCAATGACATTTTTAGTTTCAATAATTTATCAACATGTATAGAAATGATGTTTTTCAATTTATGAACATGTAATAAAAATACATTTCCTTTACTTCACGATTATTATCGGACACTTCATTTGGTATCAAAAAACACGAGAAATTTGTCTAATATTTTCATTCCGTTCGAGGGCGGCCATCTTTCTTTTTGCGTTTATTCTCTACGTCGGGAATTTTGGACGGCTTTTTTGATTTCTACCCTAGTAGCATAAAATAATTTCTAAATATTTCTTTGTAATCTTTGCTAAATGTCTCAAGCGACAGATTTTTTAAAGATTTCTTGTAGATTTCGTTCGAAGATATCTGAAATATTTNCTTTGGATGAAATGATTAATTTACGATACAAAAATGGTTAAAATTAATGCTACGGTTTTTTCGGTATTTCTTTTTGAAGTTTGAATTCCGTCAAATTTACGGGTCCCGTAAACCTAGTGTTAAGCTGGCAGCGCCACCTGACGTTTTAGCTTTAGGGACGTAAGTTATGCCCCTACTAATGACACTTCTACCAGATACAACGAGTTAAGGTGAAGTGAAACATCCTTCATATCAGTCGATTCGAATACAACACTTTTTTTTAAGGGTATTAGACCAAACTGTCCGAAACTTTGACACATCACTCCTGATCATCTAAGAATTGTCCTGACACATTCAAAGTTTGAATTTTTCGAAAAGATATTTTAACTTAGCCACGACCATAACCAAAATGCCGTCGAACTCTCATATTTCGATCGATAACAATCGATAACGTATAAGCAAATGGAACAAATAAAATTAATGAAGCAAATGAAACAAATGAAATTAATTAAGCAAATGAAACAAATGAAATTAATGAAGCAAATGAAACAAATAAAATTAATGAAGCAAATGAAACAAATGAAACAAATGAAACAAACGAAACCAATGAAACAAATGAAACAAATGAAACAAATGAAACAAATGAAGTGAAAATAATGAAACAAATGAAGTGAAAATGAAACAAATGAAAATAATGACAAAAATGAAGTTAATGAACTGCGTGGGTTTGAATCGAGCGAGAACGAAATATCAGTCGGCAAACAGAATTATCAAAAGGATCGAGGGTGGAGGGCACGACTGATGGGAGATCGATAATTTCGATTGGGAGAGCTCCCTCGAAATTCCATTCCGCGAGCGACTCGGGAATTCTCCCGAGGGACTCGGCAGAATTCGCGGTCGACTGCTTAACGACTTCGGGACCCAGCTAACGCGACGAATTAGTTTGAGGTTCACCTGTGGTGGAGCATTGGGCTCGATTCGCATTATTCAAGGTTTATCTCGTGCGGTTTAACGTCCGACGGTCGATCCATTAACGGGAGGCTTCCCTTCCGAGATTACCGGGAAAACTGCAAGGAACCGCCAGGAAAATTATCGACATCACGGCCCCGACTTTCGAACTACCCCCCGCGAACCGCCAAGTGCCAGTCCGCACTTTCCAAGTGCACTTAGGGTGCGGCTTCGTCAACCGCGATATCTGAGCTCTATCCTTGCCAGTTTGGGATACAGAGGGGGATACACCGAGAACCAGGCAACCGGAAGTCCTGATGACTCAGCTTCGGCTGGAATCGATCTACGACTCCCTAGAAGCATAGCATAATTTCTAAATATTTTTTTGTAATCTTTGCTAAATATCTCAAGCGACAGATTTTTTAAGATTTCATGTGGATTTCATTCGAAGATATTTGAAACATTTCTTGAAAATCTTAATGACATATTTAGTT